AAATGATGCAACAGTACCATGCTACAATATCATTCTACAGCAACTCTGTACACTACGTACAGTACTTTTCGTGTAGATCGCGAGCTCTGATACTAATTTGATGCAGGGAAATTTGAGGAAACAATGAAAACATCAAGGAGCAGCCAAACACAAGCACAGTTCGAAGAAACCTAGGGTTTCTTCTCCATACCCCAACCTAGGGTTCCAAAAGCCTAAGCTTTTCTCTTTCAATTTCTAAATATCATGTGGAATTGACCCTCTCAAGGGCCCCACACACCTCTTATATATTATAATTCAATGTTCAAAGACATCACACGTCCATACAATGATTAAAATGACATATATATCCTAATTTAACTTAAAATTCATAATGACAGTTTTACCTCTGTGAACAGTTCCCGAGAATAGTACTCAAAATAAAATAAAAAAACTTTAAAACCCTAGAATTCTTACAAAACTAAAAATCCTCAAAATCAATCCTAAAACTAAAATCAAAATATACATCCTTTACAACTAAAAAGAAATTAAAAATAAGTATAATTTTGCCCTCCATCAAAGATGAACCAAAAGGACCGCTAAAAGTTTGTGTAAGAGTGTGTGAGTGCGTTTTTTCCTTTTGGTGTTTGTCTTCTTTTTTTTCCTTTTTTTTTTGTGCTTTTGGGCGGGGGGATTGCTGTTATTTTATTTGATCCTCTACAAGGCAGAAATAAACCCTAAAAGTATAAGCCCATTTTGAGGATGAGCTCTACTCATCCTGGCCACAGACCCAAAAACTATAATAATATATCCTAGACAAACAAACCCCGACAGTGAACACAGACAGTCCATTTTTTAGATGGTTTAGATCTTAAAAAACTCCAATAGTGCAATTCAATTTTTTAAATTGATAAAAAAACAAAAAATATCCAATGATGATAAGCAATCCACAGTCTGTGGTCAAAAAAACCCCTTAAGGCCTCGATCTAACACCATTTTAGAACATCTGAAATAAATGGCCTGTATTGACTGCATTTTCAGACCAAATCCACTTTTCCATCGCTCCCTCTCCTTTCTATGTGTGTACACAAAAACACACACATATATATATGCGTAGAGAGAGAGAGTGCTCTATAAGCTAACGAGCTTATAGGTATAATTACAAGTCAAACCCCAAAGGTCTAGATCCACCATCCACCAAATCTACAACCTGCATTCACCGAAAATGGTACTCATTTTATCCTCTTTCTTCATGTGGATTGAATTTCATTATTATTATTATTTTGATCATCAAGATCTGATGTATATATGTGCAAAATTTGAAATCCAAGCATAGTTGTTGGAGGTGGAGCAGGATTGGTTCAGGGAAGCCAAAACACTTGAGGGTGGAAGCTTCATGGGGTTAGGATCGATGTTTGTACATTCAAAAAGTTAAGAAGCTAGATCCTAGGATACTTTGGAGCGAGATCCCATGTCACTGGGATCGAGGTTTCGACTTGAAGATATCTAAGCTCCACTTTACATAAAATGAGATCAATTCATGGTATATAATAAAATTACGATCAAGCCTAAAAGTATAAGCCCTCAAATTTTGAGGACAAGCTCTACTCATCCTAGCCACAGGCCCAAAAATTGTAATAATATATCCTAGACAAACAAACCCCAACAGTGAACACAGATGGTACATTTTTTAGATGGTCTAGATCTTAGAGAATCCAATAGTGCAATTCAATTTTTTAAATTGATAAAAAAACAAAAATTATCTAATGATGATGAGCAATCCACAATCTGTGGTCAGAAAAACCCCTTAAGACCTTGATCTAACACCATTTTAGAACATCTGAAATAAATGGCCTGTATTGACTGCATTTTCAGACCAAATCCACTTTTCCATCTCTCCCTCTCTCTTATATGTGTATGTGTTCGCACACATATATATATATATACGCGTAGAGAGAGAGAGAGCGCTCTATAAGCTAACGAGCTTATAGGTATAATTACAAGTCAAACCCCAAAGGCCTAGATCCACCATCCACCAAATCTACAACCTGCATTCACCGAAAATGGTACCCATTATATCCTCTTTCTTCATGTGGATTGAATTTCATTATTATTATTATTTTGATCATCAAGATCTGTTGTATATATGTGCAAAATTTGAAACCCAAGCATAGTTGGAGGTGGAGCAGGATTGGTTCAAGGAAAGCCAAACCACTAGAGGGTGGAAGCGTCCTGGGGTTAGGATCGATGTTTGTACATTCAACAAGTTAAGAAGCTAGATCCTAGGATACCTGGGAGCGAGATCCCATGTCTCTGAGATCGAGGTTTTGACTTGGAGAAATCTAAGCTCCACTATACATAAAATAAGATCAATTCATGGTATACGATAAAATTAGGATCAAGCCAATGCTTGCTCAATCCATTGTCATACACCTTAGCTTATTACCAATGCCATCAGTACAGTACTCCAATTTACTAGAATACTACACTTTAATCATATCATAAATTGGCTGATTATGATATTAAACTATAGTTTTTTAATACCATTATCGTGAAGTGCTATGCACCATAGTTTAACATAAGCTAAAGAAATAAATCCACAATACCAATGACATGAGCAATATATGAATTAATGGTATAGCTCCTCTCCTTTGAGGGATCCTACAAGCATGTCAATTGATATCCCATTTTATAGGGAGAGAGATCCCTATATTTCTAAACCCTGCTCCCTCTAAGATCGCTTAGAGGAACCGTGGGATCGAGTTCCAAAGTTGGGACCATGGCCTTACCCCCAAGGCTCCCACAACTGTGGGTCTAATACTCTTGTACTTTATAAAGAGATACGTTGTACAAATTATTCCCTTGGGCAAACAAATGACATAAGAGGAATTTCTCTATGTGAATTTTTGGAATCCAAACCATAGTCATGGTATGATATTTCTCCATAAAACATAATGGATCTTGAGTTTCTAAACATTTAGATCAGGTTGTTCAAAATGTGAACAATCCCCAATAAAACTTTGGAAAGTATAATTTAGTAGAAAAATATAGGTGCATGTGAATTTATTTATTTTTCCTCAAAGGGCATAAATTCGTGCTCCTCTAAGATTTCTTTTGGTCACTCCACTAATACATTCAGTTCACCAAATAACACAGGCCGCTGCCCACATCAAGCAAATCTCGATATCAATGCCTGCGCCACATTCACATGCTAGGTACTAAGAGTATAATGTCTCCACCACAATAGCGAAAAATAGTTCCCTCGACCTTATATGCCCTTTAAAAGAGGCCATCACTCACATTTTAGCGCTTTAACATAAGAGGACTACTTCATAAGCCAAAAGACCCAAAGATTTTGGCTTACAACCATATAATGATATGAACAATGCGCCAAGCTGCATGGAAAGCCCAGAAAATCAATCTAACATGTCATATGCACAATGCATCCAATCAACTACATAAGGGACATACTGGAAACAAATCCAATATCTCAGGCTCAAGAACAAGCGTTAGGCAGGCCATTGGTTACCTCCAGAGCAAGGAGTTATCAAGCAAAATTTCAACAGATGCTCCATTGGCAACCCTGGGCAAGACAGGACTAGGATAGTGATTATCAATCCAGGACATTGCTTTCTTGTTCCGGTCCTATCAGAGAGGTAAATTCAGCCACTACAAAAGTGAATGCCCTGCTAGAGGGCCTCAAATAGTTTGACAACAGATGGGGTTCCACCCTTCTAGTGGAAGGGGATTGCCAAAAACGTTTCTACATGGGCATCAGATCTGGATTCAGTACCATGGCGACTGCTTCCAATCTTTGAACGAATTAAGGAAATCAAGAGTAGATTGCAGATAACTTTCAAGAACATACGGAGGGAGCCAAACAGGAAAGCAGATGAATTGGCAAAACAGGGTACCGTATCCACCCAGCTCATGGTTCAGACACTAAACATGGAGGGTCAAAACTAAGAATATCTTTGCCGTGGGATGTATTTTTCCCTTTTGTCACCTCTATCTTCCCACATCCCTTTTGTCCCCTTATCTCTCATTATTCACAGCCGTTTCCCCGTTACGACTTGATGTACAACCTATAGAGAACACCGAAACCTAGTGGAGCACTTTTGTATAGTCAAAACAAGTACCATTATTGTTTCACTCAAAAAAAAAGTACCATTATTGTAAGCAGAAATTTACATATAATACAGGCAATTTCATATTTAAACCAAATACCCAAAAACAAAAAAAACTACATAAGGGACATAAACAAATAAGAGAGGTGCCAGAAACAAAGTGAGAGATGAGTGGGCAGTGATTTGCAAACCTGTAACCAGGCTAACACTATTTCAATCAATGAGTCCAACAATATCTAGCTGTATTAACGGTGATTACAGAGGAATTAATGCGTACGGAAGGACGCCATCATAAACATAATCAATCCTTGCTAAAATAGATAACTAAATCCCTAATAACTGATCTTTTCCCAAGCTAGCTATCAATTGGTCTCCGGAGAAAATATGACCTACCAAGCTAACTACCTGGCAATAAATGCAATGTAAGAACTATAAACAACGGTTTTCACTTTGCACAAGTAGTCAATTATCATGACTCATCATGCGTACAATCACAAGGACGTGGACTACACTTTCCATATCAGTAGCAAAATTGATTTTCACATCGAAATGTTTGAAAGGAAATATTTCAAAACAGAGATATCTTTGCCAAATAAACATGCAATTGTCTTAAAATTTTGAGAAAGATTCAAAAAGAGGAAGACCAGAAACCTAAATCTTATTCTCCAAACAGTAACATGAGTAACACGGACCTACAAACAAATCCCCTTGAATATGTATATATCCGACAAATAAAAAATCCAGAAAAAGGAAAGACAATAATTCCATAGAAATATAGTTAGAGAGAGCGAGAGTAGCAAAATGCAGAGATTTTATAAGATAAAAAGAGAACAGAATTGGAGAGAGAGAATATATGTGACTGTGTTTGCATGAAAATGGCAATTAATTGAGTAATACCATGTTCCTAAGGAGAAGAACACGAGTTGGTAGTCCCCTGAGGTTCACACTCTTTGCCTTCTTCTCTGGTTTAGACTCACTTGCATTGACAATTACCCCTGCTCTCCTATCTGTCTTTTTTGCCATTAATGGTGTGGTGATACCTTGCTCTTGCTTACCCAACCCTTGCCCCTCTTTCCAACCCATCTTTGCCATCATTCTCTGAGCAGCTGTCATTTGGCCTCCAGCCCCAACTCCAAGGCCACCCAATCCCCCCTTTGCAATGGTAAAGCCATCTCCTTCTCTCTCTTCATCCCTCTCCCTCTCTCTATCTCTGTCTCTATCTCTTTCTCTATCTCCATCTCCTCCCATGGCCGCTCTCCTTCTCCATGCCTCTTCACCAGTCAGATTGAGCCCTGAAAGGTCTTTCTCTCTATCCCTCTCTCTTTCTCTCTCCCTCTCCCTTTCTCTCTCTTCTTCCTCGAGCCTTCGCCTTTCCATCTCTCTCTTCATGTCAGCCTCCACCTGCTTCCGCTTTCTCTCTCTGCGATACTCCTCGTAATCGTTAGGACGTGCAGGATCATATTCCTCAATCACATTCGAGGTTACTCCGACAAGCGCAGGCTGGAACGAGGAACTAGAGTTGGGGTTAGGGCTTTCTTCGCCAGAGGGAAATAGGATTTTCGGTTGAACTTGAGGCTTGGGCTTAGGGTTAGGGTTTTGGTTTCTCATAATGGATTGAGGTGGGGCAAAGAGGGTAGAGGGCTTTCGAAGAGCTGGAGGAGCCATTTTTGCACTGCTTGACCAGGCTGCAGAGGAACCTCCGGCGCCATTAGAGGAGGTGCTATGGCCTCGCTCGTCGTCTGTTGCGGAAGAAGGAGGGATTGAAGAAGGAGGGGGTAGGTCGCCATATAAACCACCAAGCATTTCGCCTAGCCTCTTTTTCTGAGGTCTTACACCCTTTAGTCGATTATTTTTACAGAGATGAATCTGGGGTTTTGCATCAGTCCGGCATGGATGAGATTGATTTGTTCTGACGAGAGTTTTTTAAAATGATTTCTAGGGTTTCGGATAATTTCACAAATGAGGGGTTTTGAATATGATTTCTAGGGTTTCGGATGAAGAAATTTCACGACTAAGAGGTTTTGAGTACGATTTCTAGGGTTTCTGACGAATAAGTTTACAGAATTTGCGGGGTTTATGGGAACCCGCCATTGATATTGCAATTGGTGGTTCGACTGAAAACATTTCGTTGAAAGCAGCGTGATTTGCGTGAGGATCAAAATGTCAAAGGTGGACCTCTAAAATTTGCGGTATTAACCGTGCTCTAAGTTGCCAGTAGAAAGAAGTACGGTGGCAATGACCCAATACTCGGCACGGGACCCGAGGGCTACGCTCACGTGAGACCAAAAATTACAGCCGACGGGTCCGAATATTTTTTAAAATATCAAGAAAAAATTAAATAAATATCCGTTATATTTTACGTTATTATCCGTTATACTTTACGTTATTATAACCTTATCGAATAGTTTTTGTTATTATATATATATATATATTTGCTTTTTACTTTTTATAACATAATTTTTAAAAAATAAAAATATTTTTTTTTGGATGTTCAACAACCGAGTTAGAGGATTTTTCAGATGTTCAACATCCAAAAATAAGCTTTAACGTTTATATTTCTATTTTTGGATATTGAACATCCGAATTAAAAGGTTATGTCGATACATCGTACTCTTTGTGAAAATGATTTCGGATATTGGACATCCGAAAATATGACATTTTCGAATGTTGAATATATGAAAATGGCTTCAAATGTTGGACATCCAAAAATGTCATATTTTCGAATGTTCATCATCCGAAAATGACTACGAAATTCCAAACACTTTCTGGAAATTCAAAGTCATATTTTTAGATGTCCAACATCCGAAACCACTTTCAAATGTTAAACATCTGAAAAACCCTTCAATTCGGATGTTCAACACCAAAAATAGAAATGTGAATATGTAAACTTTCGGTTTATTTTCGGATGTTGAACATCCGAATAACCCTCCAATTCGGTTATTTAACATCCGAAAAAGGGTAAACTCATCTTTTAAAAAAAAATGTATTATAAAAAATAAAAAACATACATACATGTGATAGCATAAACAATTTGGTACATCACTAATATTGTAAAGTATAATGGATATGTATGTAATTTTATCAAATATAAAATACATTTAAATATAATTAAATACATATATTTTTTAATTTTGGGTTGGGTCCCGGTCCCGCACTATATTTTTGGATCCAGGTCCCACACTATATTTTTTTGTCCAAGTCTAGGTCTGGTGAATTCAGATCCGTCTGTGTCCAATTCCATATCATTTTTTTGCAACCCTTAACTATAACTTGAAAATTCATGTTCAATTCTATTGTGGAGTTCAACATTTAAAAAGGAAAACTATTTGATAGGGTTGCAGCCCAATGAAAATAACTAAAGTTACAACCCTTCTCATTGTCCAATTTTTTGGACGGTGTGGAATTGTTGAGATAAGTCAATCGGAAGCTAGGGCACCTAGAGCCAACCCTGATTTTGGTCCTAATTTTTTCAAACCCGCACCTTGTTTTAACGCAAAAATTAAGACCCCTCCCGGGTTCTCTCTCGCTCTGCAAATATACAAGCAGCCCCCTTTTATCCACTTCATGACATGTTTTCTTCCTAGTAAGAAAAAACACCCTGAAGTAATATAGAGCACAGAAAGCAAAACGAAACGAGAAAAACAGATCCCTTATTGGCAAATGTGTAAAATCTACACCGTCCTGCTGCCCGGTAGAAACTCCATCGTTTAAAAAATAGTACAGATTTAGCAAATATACAAACAAATATAATTTTGAAAATGTACC